TATTGTTATTGATAGGTGTAAATTCAACACATGTTTAGGCCATCAGCTTTAAATATCTCAGGAGTTTAATTGAATTGATTGCTATTTAGTTTGTTTATATATCGATTGTTGTAGGACTAACCAGGATGAAATTGATCAATTGGAAGTGTTAATTGAGCAATCGGTCGAAATTCATAAGTTTCAAAAGTTGAATCCAACGTTTGAAGAGTTTGGGGATCAAATTGAAAATATATATAAAAGTTGATTCGGACATGGGAAGGACGATTTAAGATTTCTTGAACTCAATTGGGTGAAATAGGGAGTTGAAAGACTGAAATTAGAATAAAAAAGAGTTGAGCTGAGCAATTAATGAATTATTGGACAAAATTGCATATATTAGAAAATTCGGGGCTTTTTGGTGCGCAACAGTAGTTCAGGGGTGGCGTGTGAAAATCCGCAAATTGCAGAAGCAGGGCTGAACTTGTCAGAAAGTTGCATGCGCACCCAGAACTACTGTGCATTTTCCACCTTCAACACGTCCACGAGTGCAATTCAATTTTTATTTTTATTTTTTAATAAAGAGAAATTTTTGAAAAAGTTTAAGAATAGTGATTTTTGAGCCTTTAGATGTTGCACTGACGACTCGTAATGGTAATACCGTAATAGTGAGTTCTATGAGCTTAAACAGGAGATTCGACCCTAAATGCAGAAATTGTAAAGTTTAGTGACTAGATTGTAAATAGAGAGAAAAATATTATTTTAGACAAAAAGGTGGCGAGTCAAGTTTATTAAATGTTCAAAAGGATTACCAGACGTTAAGGATTTTAATTTGGGCACATTTTGATCATTTTAATATATTGAGGGACTAAGTTGAAAATAAGTTTTGACATCAATATTTTTATTAAATTGGGTCAAATAATCAAGTGTTGAAGGAGTAAGAATTATCATATCAATATTAGACTCATTTCGAAGTTTGTAATTTAAGGGTGAATTATGGGCTCAAGAAAAAATTAATTCAGATAAGCCTAATTCAAATTATAACTCATTAAAGTAAATTACTTGTAGAGTAAAATTAGTTTTCAAACTAGAACAAATTCTCATGTCAATATTGGGCTCGTTTAATAGATCATAATTAATCATATATATTAGGCGCAAAAAAATGTTATAATTTATATATGGATTGTTTGGTAGAGATATAAATCGGATTAAAATTGAAAAATTAGCATTTATTGTTGACTTTTATTAGACGAGTGGGACCCAATAACGTCTATATTTTCAATTTTAATTGAATTTTAATCTTTACCAAACGAGCACATAATACTGAATCAACTCAGAGTCGATCAAAGAAAATTACAATGAAATGAATTCTAAAGTAATTAAGTACTTTTGTTTTTTTGGGTGTATTTGAGCCACATTATTTTGGAAGAACGTATTTTGGAACAGTAGATTGATGGAGAATGTGTGGTTGAAAAAGAAGGAAAAATTATTGATGTGAAAGAAAATATTATTTTATTGAAGATTGTATGATTGAAAATAAGTAGAAGAATGAGAATGAAAATTTTAATGTGGCTCAAACGGGGGCTTTGTTGGTAGAGTGTGGCCAAAAACAGGATTAGTTACCGTTGATCAAAAATAAATTCACGAAAAATTGTGGGGTCCA